TATAGTTGACTGCCGGGGGACGTATTCAAGCGGAGGAGTTGGGCCGAGTGTTTCGTTGTATGTATCCGGGTGGACAAGGTATTGCTGTAGAGCTACTAATATTCATTAATACTTTTTTGCACTCGTTATGCGACAAATTATATTGTTTTCCAATCGTATCCTGGTTAGTAAACTGAGAGTAAACTCTATATGGTCTTCGTGTATCAATCAAATCAAATATGATTACAATTATATTACAGACAATTGTTGGACAGATTGTTATAATTCTAAAAGATTGAGATAAGTTTAATAGATTAGACAATTAACTCAATGACTGTAATAAAATCATATACACCCAATTCCCTAAATTATGGACAATAAGTGTGAATTGAATATAATTTGTTTGTCTTCAGTATTGCTTGTTTGCTGGCCTTAAGTTCAGACATTACTGTCAATCATTCGGTTGTTTCAGAAATATGTTTTGTGTCACCTTTTTGTAAATAACGAATACTAATCTATCATTCATCTGAAACTTCCGATAAAAATGCAGACAATTATAATCTAAAGTTTGATTTGAATCTGAAGGCGAATACGCGGGAACCCAAGGTTTAGGTTTGCTTCGACTGCACAGTACGTTCAGACATGACCTGAAAATTTATGCATCAGACGAGGGTATTATTGTCCATATTTTGCATTTGGTATGAAATAAATAGTAATTAAATCTAATTTATAGGACGCGTTCAAATGACTGCGGCTGCCTTTGCTAAGGTATAGCACTTGTGGTAAAATTAATTTCATTTGTGTTCATTTATAAGCTTTTCATTTAGGGGTTGTTAGCACTGGAGGGAGAGTTAACTCCGATTTTAGTACAAATGGTTAAAAGTGCGAACACTAATGGTTTACTGGACAACGATTGCGATTCAAGTAAATATCAAAATGCAGTCAAACAAAGACTACATGAGATGATGCAAGTGGACAGGGAGTTCACGGCTGAAGATATGGAACTTCTTAATCCACTTCACGCTCGTTCCGTCCAAGCTGCTTTAACTTTTGTCAAAAATCCCGTCAAAGCTTGTGATAAAATCTATGGATTTATACAAGAGTTAAATGTGTTAATTAAGTCAAGAAGAGACGATTCTCGCGATGACTATCATCTCTATTACGGCGAGACTTGGGATCTAATGCAGAGGAGATGGTCTAAACTAGAAAAGGATTTTAAATTGAAAAGTGGTTCATATGATATCAGTAAAATACCAGACATTTACGACTGTATTAAATATGATTTACAACACAATCAACACGTACTCCAATTTCCAGAAGCCGAAGACTTTTACAGATACGCCAAGTCATTGGCAGATCTCGTTATTCCTCAAGAGTACGGAATCACTCAAAAGGAAAAGTTGACGATTGGTTTAGGCATTTGTTCGCCACTTCTCAAGAAAATTAGATCAGATCTGTTGACTAACACTTACGCCACCGAAGACGACGAGTCCGAAAGTGTCAATCGTCTGAATCCACACTATTCTCATGGAGTCTCTTCTCCGGGCCGTCACGTGAGGACTCGTTTGTATTTTACGAGCGAAAGTCATATCCATTCTCTTCTAAATGTGTTACGTTTGGGTAAATATGACTGAATGAAGGGTTTGTAACACTGGGCTATCAAATCAAATAATCTCTCCTTTAGGCGGACTTTTCGATGAGACTAAAGATGAACAGTGGAGAAGAGCTATGGATTACGTGAGTCTTGTCTCTGAACTCAATTATATGACACAAATCGTGATAATGCTATACGAGGACCAAACCAAAGACCTCACGTCTGACGACAGATTTCACGTGGAATTGCATTTCAGTCCCGGAGTGGTCTGTTGTTTGCAAAAGAATCACATTAAAGGTCCGGGTTTTAGACCACAATCCAGAAGCAGCGGAACATTTGTTAAGGTTTGAGTTGATTTACTCTTCAATAATTGCATTCCCTTTAGTAATGGTTTAATAAAAATCTAATAACTAATAACTCATTGCTTTTAGAAACTAATCACTTCTAACAGTTGTGATAAAATACTTTCCCATTCG